ATGCGTGCGTGCTGTTCCATCTAATAGCATCTGTAGCGGTAGCACTTCATTGATCTGAACATAAGGGAACTCCAACCAGACTCTTCTTCATTCCAGGTGAAGTGGGCGAGACTGTAAAGCAAATGTAATACATAGTATAAGCTGGTTGGGTGGGCTGTAATGTCCTATACTGTTGCTTTGACCGGCATGGCCATCGATCATCTACTGTGTGCCTCTGCTCCCACAGGTCGGGGTCGGTCAGGAAGGTATTTATAGTGGGCCTAGATGCCTCAGTCTGTCTCTAGTATGTGTTTGGGAAGCCTAGCCGTGAGGCACCTGTGCGCGGTGTTGTTGTTCTACTGTTGCACCACCTGTGTATGTGTGTTTCTCGTGTGATTTAATTCTGCACCGAAGCGCACCAAATGAACTCGGGCACTGGCCTTCTGTTGTCTAGCACGAGCCCAGAGGGGAGTAAAGTGTGAGTGCATGTGTGCCCATTTTGTCCTGATTTTTTTATTTTTTTCCTTCTGATGGAAGCCAAGAGTGGGATTCATCATCTCTGCGACGGTCTGTCAAAATGTCACAACGAGAGGCCATCGCTCTCACTACAGAACACGAAAGGCTGTCACTTCATGTCAACGCACACTCACAGACTAGTACCTGAAGGTTGTTCCTTTCACTGGAGCTTGTTTTTACATGCATACATCATTTAAAAAAAACATTATGATTTACAAAATGTCTTTTGTTTTCCTCATTTGTCTCGTCACACTATCTTGTTCTGCTGGTGTGCAGCTCGCATCTTATCTCCACCTCCTTGCTCTTTCTATCGTATCTGGAAGACGAGCTGTGGCATGTAAGGAATTCCTATCAGCCCTTGTGCACCTTGCAACACGTCAGATACAGAGGCAAGAAATTAAAGGAATGTGGGCAGGGAGATGCCGAAAAGGAGGTCAGAGAACACAGGTAGACCGGCTGCAGGTTGCTGATGGCTGTGCTTGGTTATGCATTATAGGACCCCATTTCCTGAAGTGAACCGCCACTACCAGCTAAATAAACAGGAGATGTGTTGAGTAGTACACAGCATTGATTCACTCTTTGCCGTGGTCAGCACTGATAGAGCCTCAAGCAGTTGGGTGTGCGATGCCAAGCAGCCAGGATGTCCTGTCCGGGATAATGGAGGCTCGCTTCTCTTGACGTCCAGGACTTGTATTGATCAGAAAGTAAAAGCATGGCTCCAGGATTGCTTTGCTCACTTACATTTAAATTGTATGTTAAATTTTGACTATGAAAGGTTGCAAGTTAAGTGCTGATCCAACATATGTCTCCCCCCTTTGCTGTTAACACACTTGACTCTTCAAATGGTTTTCTGTCCATACCCTCATTTTCCTGCATCCCCCCCCCCCCCCCCTTCATTTGTAATTTCCCTGTTTTTTTCCCCATCCCTTCCGCTGCCCGCTCCAATCTTCCCAGTCCCCCTTTTATATCTTTCTCTCTCTCTCTTTCCTGTAACAAGCCCCATGCGGAGCAGCGTTTGTGTAATTAAAATGCACACCATTCATCTGGGAGGAAGGGAGTCTCCTTAATCTGCGTCGACCCACATTTTAGCCTCTGAGGATTTGCCTGCTGCTCCACACGCGCGCACACACACACACACACACTCTTCTTAGGTTCACTCACTACTATCTCTCCCGGCACTCCCACCGCCATTCCTCATTGTTTTAGCACAGCTGTGCCCTGCCATGTCACATTTAGTGTTGTGGACATGGAAGCTAACCAGATGCTGGTGTTTTTTTGTTGTTCAAAGAAGGGTGGACTGTGTTACATTGATGTCGATTTGTTAGATATGGATGAAGCCTATTTCTGAGAGGCAGGAGTAGATGTGTCACCTTGACACAACAGCCTGCTTCTCTGGAACTTTGGTCTCTTAAGCTTTCATATAGTTTTGTTCTTATAACTCATCAAACGGAAGTTTCATCCCAAGTCCAATCTTACAGGCGTTAACCAAACATATGCTCAAATGAAGTTATGGCCACTCCTTACAGATGATAAGAATGATTCGGGGAAGCTCATTTTACGTGGGTGTCTCATTATGAGTTCCTCATTTTACTGTAGTTCCATTTTTGGTCACTGGGGAACTCGTCTGTGTGTCACGGTATGTTGCCTTGGCAGAGGAGGCTGACACACCTCTGTGTGTTTGTGGAGCTTGCGGATGGGTCAGAGCACGCCGAGCATGCAGTGTTCAGTGAACAAACGCAACCCTTAAGCTGCAGGCTTCTATATTTTATGCTTTGCCTGTATACTCTAAATTATAGGGCTGTCTTCCAACCGCTTTGTTGAGGGCAATGAGCTGCTGATTTCAATTAACTCTCTTAGATATTAAAGTTAGTATACAGCTCTCCTGCAAGGCAACAGAATATGTGTTTCATCTATATGAAACACATATTCTGTTGCCTTGCAGGGGGGGTTAGTGTTTTAGCGTAACTCTATTTTGCAGCAGCAGATTCTTTATAACCAGGGTGGAAGCCAGTTCAGCTCCAGAGCTAAGTTGATTAACATCTCTTGTGTAAACAATCTGGACTGAGGGTCTCCACCACCTGCAGTAAAACTTTATTCTGACATCTGCAGCAGATATGTACTGAGGCCCTCAGATATGCTCACTATTTATTTATGCAGTATCTCAGAGAAGCCTCTGATTATTTCATCATAGATGCATACATTTGTACACCTTTATGAAGATTAAGAAAGACTGTAGATTGAAATAGTACATCCCTACATATATCACCTATTCTCTGTGTTGTTATCTTGTGATAAAAACCCAGCTGCATCGTGGGTAAATGTTGTAAATGAAGAAGTGGTCTTAACCTCTGCAGAAAACCTCAACCTTAAAAGGAGTTCACAGTCTTGCTGACTTCCCCTTCTAGCGGACCAGAAGTAGAGCTTGTAGAGACTGCAGCAGTGCTGAGCGCACCTGTCTGTCGGTTGCTTTGAAACATCTTTTATTGGTACGTTTTATATCATACACCATACTTGGTATGATTTATAAAGATTGACAGCTTGTGTTGTTTTTGCTACTACCAAATAAGAGATGAGGCGCCACACACACACACACACACACACACACACACACACACACACAGAGCTGGCTGCGGTAGTGTAAACAGTGAGCTTGCGCTGTGTCCATAATGGAAGTCTGTGGAATGTGCTCGGGCTTCTGAACGGAGTCTCTGCTGTGAAACCTAGTCAGCCGGCATGTCAGCCATGCTAACCATGCTATCCGTGCTAACGCTAAGTTGGGCCAAGTGGATCTGGTATTGACCTCTTCTTCGGCTGTGTCTCCTCTGAGTCTGGAGAACACTGCAGCCCAAGTTACTTCTCTACTGATGATACTCTGATATATACCTATAGCAGTCATTAAAGTTACAAATTAAAATGTACAACTGCAGTTGAATCTTCGACTAACTTAGATGTTAGACTTTCATGTCAAAGTGAGTGTGAGTCATGGGGAACGTAAGCAGAAAGTGTGCAGACATGGTGAAGGAGGGGCAGATTACACCTTTATATATCTTTTTGTGATACCACTCCCTACGTTGGCCATGCCTCTTGTCGATAAGAGCTCTGCTTGCTCTCAACTTTCCTCACTTCACAACGACCTCCCTCACCGGCTGCAACGTGCTCATCAGACTATTTTTCAGAGGGTAGTCGTTTGCGTGAGTAGTATCTCTTACTTGAGCTTTCAGGCAGCAAAGTTGGAGCTGGCATAGCAGCGTGGAGGGGTTGACCCTAACCCACTGCCATTCATTTTAAACCCTCCTTCTCCTCTTTACCCTCAACTTCTCCTCTGCTCTCAGTTGCCCCCAACTCTCCCCCCTCCTCCTCCTCCTTCGGCTCTTGATCTCTTATGCTGATGGTAGAGTTAAGAAAGGCAGTTCCTGCCTGGCAGACTGTCTGTTTGGGTTGCCCTCTTCCCCCTCCACTTCTTCTTCTTCTTCATTCTCTATTATCTCCTCTTCACTTCCCTGGGTGTAACTTCTTGTCTTTAGTCTAAGGTATGTCTCATCTGCATGTTACTTTAGCTGTGGTTTGGTCTTTCTTGCCCCGCTGCTTTATTTTAGGATAGAGCGTTGAAGTAGTTTGTCTATAGATCAATTTAGCATTACTGGCGATATTGCAGTATGACGTATAGAATATTGAAAGCATAACAATGAAGTGCAGTTTGAATCATTCAATCAAGCTTCTTTACGATTCGGAATACAACTGTATTGTAATTACGCTATTCATTTGCTGTTTCTAACTAAGGTTTTTTTGTATTTTTTCAAGAACTTATATTAGATTATGTATTTGATATTAACGTTATTGTCTTTAACAGCCTCAAATATATTGTTTTAATGGAAAATATGCAATAGTGTTCATACCATTAATTTTGTACTAATTGTTAAAGTAAGTTTGTTTAATTTATGGATGACATTTTTTCGGACTCGTGACATTCTGCAAGAGAAACTAAACACTGCTGTGGTGAGTGAGCGCGCTAAAATAAGCCCAAGTATCCAGTAATACAGTCTGCGCTCTTCATTAAATCCCCTATAATGTTATGTGTCCTTCTACCTGCTGCTTAGGACTTCTAAATTAGTAGTTGTTTTCCTGGCCTCTTCATGCAGTGACGGCAGCTGTTGTCGTGTAGATGGTAAATATGAGTACGTGTACCTGGTTGCAGACTTGACAGTGACTCTTGGATTTAAGACGTGTCAAGACTGCAGGCAGACGAGGGTCAATGAGTAACCAAAGGAGTGGCAATGACAGTCTGCATGATTCAACTTTTACAACTCCACCGCCCCTGATGTCAGTGAACATGGGCTTTTCACCGATTGTGAAAGACGCTGTCATTATTTGTTCCCGTGTGTAGGCAAACCTCCCTGGTGATAACCTTTTTGCAGCTCTATCCTGTACTTTCACCAAACCCTGTCTGAGAATATAATTAGCTTCAGACCTGTGATGAAGAAAATCTTTGTTTTGTATTTCCACAGATGCTTTGTTGGCGGACCTTGAGTCCACAACATCCCACATTTCCAAGCGTCCGCTCTTCCTGTCTGACGAGACTGCCTACTCCTTGCCTGTTGGGGGTCAGAACCAGCAAGACCTCTGTTCTCCACCCCAAGTCCCACCCACGTCCTCTGAGCTAAACGGACTTGATGAAACAGAGGTAAAAGCTCACATGCATTTTATTGTTTGTGTTCAATTAAAAAAACATTGTTTGATTTACTTCTGGATACTCTGAAGTGACTTCCCTTCATCTCCTCAGTCCTTCAGCTCAGCTCAAAGAGGCCCGTGGTCTGGAGATAGCAGCAGTCCAACTCGACCCATTGGTGAAGAGGACCACGTGTACAGGTAGGACTTTGAACCACACCCGTTGGATCAACCGTGTATAGGTATCTATAAAAAAATAACTTGTACCCTCAAATGTTCTTATGGATTACTTTGTTTGGAAGCATTTTTGTGGAAAACCTCTACGGTATTTAGCAAATTATAGGGAGGACATTAAAAGGGGGAATATAATCATGTGTGTCATCTTTTTGACGCACACAACTCATTCAAATAGAAATCTCCTTTTGGGTGTTGACTCATCTGTGAGTCAGAGACACTCTCCAAATGATGCCGGTGTCAAAATATAACATCACCCTCAGTCCTTGGCTCTGTTTATGGTAAATATTGGTTCTTCTCTCGTCTCTGTACAGTTTCCCTAATAAGCAGAAGAATAGTGAGTCATCAGCTGTTGCCATGAACTCATCCTTGGGCAGCAACCTGTCTGAGCTGGACCGCCTGCTGTTGGAGCTCAACGCTGTGCAGCAAAGCACCCCTGCCTTCCCCACAGAAGGTACACGAAGGGATTGCTTTACAATTTAGAAAACGCTCTCTTATGTTTCTCGGATGACACTAGCTACATTTAGCGGTTGTTTTTTAAGGTGTCACACAGGAATGTCCCGTCTCTCCACTGTATGATAAACTATGCACTGTGGATCCATGAGGGAAATGTATTTAGCATTTTCTTCTGTAAATAGAAGAAGCAGCTCCCCCACTGCCTGCCAGCAGCATCATCCACCACGTTCAGGAGAACGGAGTCTCTACTTCAGGCAAGGTTGCTCCACCTGTATTGGAGAAGCCCAAACGCAGCGCTGCAGCTCGGGGAATAGGGGATGTACGACCAAGTGTGGAGAGCCTTCTGGATGAGCTGGAAAATTCTGTGCCCTCTCCCATGTAAGCCACAAATTGTTAAAGCAACATAGAAACCATGCCATTGCATGTAGCTGTTTACATTAGTGCTCAAGGATGTTATATTAACATTTAAGCCCATGAATTTAGTTGACTGTGTTCTTTCCTTCTTTAGTCCCACACCGTCGGTTGTGTCAGACGAACACACAGATGGACAAGAGGAAACTCCAGCACAGCAGCAAGCCAGAATGTCTGCCTCCTCTGCCACACGAGAGCTGGATGAGCTAATGGCCTCCCTATCTGACTTCAAGGTCCAAAGCAATGTGAGTATGGTAGTGGGTAGATTTTGGGTCATGGGGGGGGGTTTGCATACTGGATAGAGGATGTTTATTTTTGGCATTGTGTAACTGTTTAGGACTGCACTGCAGACGTTTAGGGGTTTGCATGACTGTGAAATGAATTGTAGAAACTAGGATCAGACTATTTTTATTCAGCGTCTCTTCAGTATCTTTTCAGTATCTGTGATTTTGATATTCTGCATACGTAATATTTAACGAATTGCTGTTGCTGGCAGTGTCCACAATAGAAAAGTTGAACAGATATTCTGCTGTTTTACTGTTTACATAGATTTCCCAACTTTTGCAGTGTTACAATGGAATAAATGAAGTGGCTGGTACTTCTTTTTACCTCAACTTTTTAACGTACCCTTTATTTTGGACCAGTTTTTTTTTTTTTAAGTCAACAAAATATTTTAAAACTGACCCGTAATTGACAACCAACTTTTAATTTTAAATTTACTTTGAGTTGTTGTCACACTTGACAAAACAAACGTACTAGATGACAATTCAAATTCGTTGTGCTACATTTCTTTGGCTTTGTGTTTGAGACAACTTTTCTGTTCATTCCCTTCATTCTCAATGTGTTTTTCCTGGTCTCTTTCCCTTTTCTCTACCATTGTTTATGTCTTGTCTTTGTTTGTACATTGCCATCATTACATCAATGCACCTGATTCAGTCTGACTCTCAGTTGTCTGTGAATCAGGAGGCTGGAGACCCTTCATTGGTAGCTGGTTCCCCAGGAACAGCCCCGTCTATAAATCCTAATAATGGTTCAGTGGATACTCTTCCACCTTCTAGTTTCACTACTCCCTCCTGTACCCCTCTTCCACTGGAACTCCACATAGATGAAGATGGTACTTCAACCCCTACATCTTCAGCTGGTTCCACTGTAGTCATTGCATCGTCCAAGAGCCTTCAGTACTCCCAGATCCAACAGATAGATGACGGTGGCAGTGTCACGTGTGAGATCACTCATGAGGAGAGCCTCAGTATCTCTAGTACCACAAAGCCTCCGAGTCAAACGGAAGTCAACAGCCCTACACATATGTCCATCACTAAATTATCTGCTAGTAAAGTCTCAAGTCCTTTTGGAAAAAGTTTAAGCCCGGTTACTAGTGGCAGATGTTCTAGTCCAGTACCCTCTGCCAGCAGCTCCAGTCCATTAGTTGTTTCAGAGAGCTCTAGTGATGTTACTGTGTCTATAAACCCCAGTCCTATTCTTAGAGCCAAGAGTCCCAATCCACCTGATCTTAAATGCTCCAATCGAAGTCAGTCTTTAAAGAATCCAAGCCCAATTTCTAAATGCTACAGTCCAGTTTCTATAAGTCATACCCCAGAAGACAATAAAAAGACTGCTAGTCCAGTGACAGTTACAAGGCTTTCAAGTCCAGTTCCAAAAAGTGCGAGTCCAGAAATAGTTCGCAAGAGTGCTAGTCCAGTGTCAATTCCAAGACTTTCAAGTCCATTTCCACAGATTGCAAGTCCTGTGACAGTCTCTGATATCTCTAGTTCAGCAAGTGTATCCAAGAGCTCTAGTCCTGAAACATTGCCAATGACTGCTTGCCCAGTAGTACTCCCAAGGCTTTCAAGTCCTGCCTCAGTCATCAGAAAAAATTACACAGTTCAAGGTAGCAGCAGTCCCAGAGCTTCACCAGTTCCAGCTGTACCATCAAATAGCCTGTCTCTCCCACCTACAAAAAAGCAAGGAGGTGAAATGCTGGATTTAACATGGCCATGTTGTGAACCTTTATTAGATGATGCTTTAGACAAACTGTTAGCCCCCGACTCCTCCCAAATGAGTGACAACCAGCCACCTGCTTCCTTTATGTCCGGAGATGAATACCGATCTTGGGAGGAGGAAGACGGAATTGATCCTGATCTCAGCCGAGAGGGAACCCTGACGCCCATGACTGAGTCCAGCTGGATTGATGAGTGTTTCACCCCCTCTTCCTGCCCTGGGACACCAGATGCAATGCTGGACCTTCCCACACAGCAGCCCTCTGCTGTCGAGCGCCTATCTACTTCTGGCCAAGTAGGACTCTCAACTTGACTCTCCCAAAATAAGCTGCAGGCAAAAAAGGCTGGAGAAGCTATTATTTGGCCGTGTCTTTCTATTACTTGGCCATGTGGCCTGAGATAAGATTAATTGTCTCTGACAATAATGGCAGAATGGCTGTGTGTATCTCTAGTTGCCGAAATAAGCTTATATTGGGAGAGCAGCTCCTGCAAACACTCAAGGAGCTACGCAAAAACACAAAGTGTCTTGTTGAAGATCTATGTGGTGTGATGCATGTGGTGTCATTGCATAGCAATTGCAAAATGGCTTGAGGGAGGAATCTCCCTGTAGAGACGATTTGTGGCTGATGTCGAAAGCTTTGCTAAAAAGATGTTTCTGCACGCCCCTACTTGCTTCAGTCCACATTGCTGTGTTAGTCACAGGGCTTGGCCTGTCATGTCTACGCAACCAATGGCTGATGCAAAAATGTGTTTTCAATCACTGATGGTGTCAATACAAAGACAGCAGGGTGAATATTTTTTCTATTGCTAATCAATTTATGCACTAAGAAGGGGCACATGATCTTTGGCCTTGCTTTGGCACGTGCAGACTTATGTGCAAGCATTTTGTGATGGACTTGTGTTGTCTTGAGCTCAGCGATCCAGCATGCCGTGCCACAGATACCCAAGTAAACTTTGAATGGAATGGAGGGCTGTGCTTTGCTTCTACAGGCAAATTTGATTGGATACAAGAGTGCCTGACAAATCCTCCAGAACATTTTGACAAAAGTATGTTCTGGAGCCGGTTTTTGCCCCTTGAATGAGACATCCTGGGCTGGGTCTGTCCTGCTTGTGTTTGCAACCCAACATGGACTTTCTGGTGAGTGGCACAATCCAAGCTTCCCAAACCTCCTTATATCATCTACTCTCTAGCTCAAGTCGGTTATCCGCCGCACCAAAGAAACCTCCAATGTGCATCCAATGTTCAAGGAGGGAACGTTGCGACGTAAAATGGGACCGGTCATTGTGAATAAGAGCATCTCGCAAGACCGACTCATTCAGGAGCTGCAGGGGAAACTGGGAATTGGGCGAGTGGAGCGCAAGCGTAAACAACTGGCAGATGATTGGATGACGGAGGGAGTCATCGTCATGTCCAACCCACAGCGAACACGGGAAGAAAGGGTCCAGCCATCTGTGGATAAGGTAGACATTAGAGACGCACAGCAGGAGTCAGTGCTGTTCAGTGCTACTCCAGGACCATGTTAATTAAACCAAGAGTTGGAAGTTATCTTTCACTCATTATATATATTACATATGTATGATAATTCATCATATTGCCAGAAATATTTTATTTGTCTTTGACAGTCAGTCTAAACAAGTTTGTCCTGCCAACTTTGTTTTTTTAACCATTTCCTTTCCCTCATCCTGACCTCTGTTTTTGTTATCTGTGTTTCCTCTCTTTGCTGTTTCCTTTTTCATTCTTTCCCCCAGATCATCATCCCTCCAGAATCACCTGCCCCACAGAGAAAAATCCTCCCCCCTCCGCAATCTCCCCCAGCACCCAAAAAGCTACCCCCAGTGAAGCAGACTCCCCCACCACTACCTCCTCCCCCTCCAACCCTTCCCCCTCCCCCTCCTCGAGAACCTCCACCTCCGACCACTCCACCTCCCCCTCCTCGAGAACCTCCCCCTCCTCCCCCCAAGGAACCTACTCCTCCCCCCAGGGAGCCCACGCCTCCCCCTGTCCAGCCCCCTCCATCACCTAGCCCCCCTCCAAAGCCTGTCACGCCACCCCCGCCTCCCAAGGCCTTTGTATCAGTGGGCTGTCAGACTGAGTATGACCCCATCTTCCCACCAATGCAGGCATGGATCACCATTCTTCTTCTTTCTCTTCTCTGACCTTCCTTTAAACTTTGAGTTCTTTTACTCAAGTCTGTTTTCGGGTTATTTGCTTCAAATCCCAGCCGTTGAACGTCTGTTTTCATGTGAGCTATATATCATTTGTCTGGTCATAGGCTCTCTTTTCGACCCCTGGTGTCTATTCATGCCAAGTTGCAACAGGTAGTCTCTTTAAAGCTTTGTATGAAATCCAGTCAGGCCAGGTGGTGGTGGTTGCTGACATTCAGGCTGGAGAGACTGAGACCCTTTTCTAATTCTGACATCTGACAGCACCACGGGCTGTGTGTTCAGAATTGAGAGGAGAGTTTACAAGCTCAGAAGCAAGAGGAGTGTAACCCCCCCCATGTTCCTGTTACCCTGTCCTGCCGTGCACAGGAATGGTAGGCTCGCAGTGCAACTGAAACCTACTCTGCCACATGACAGCACAGTTACCACCACAATTATAGCCGCTACCACAGGACTTCCGTCAACAGGTCGCACTAGGTTATATACCAGGAAGTTGAAGTTTATTGTCATGTACCGTCCCTTCTTTAAGACTCCATAGTGTCTTTACTGAGGTAGTTGAGGTGAAGCACAATATGAGCGCTGTGGTATAAGTGTGTTCCGGTCGAAGGCTCGGTGAGATGCCAGGCTCTTTTATTTGTGTGTGTGAGAGAATACGTGGAGCAGAGATGCTATTTTCTCTCTCAGTGGAATTCAAGAGTCATGAAGCTCCAATAACCATCTGAGAAGGTCTGTGTTTGCTTACATTGCTGTAGCCAGACACACATTCACACACACGATATTGATGTTAGAGGTTTATCATCAAAAGCCTGCAAACATGGATTAGGATTGATAAAATCTTATTTTGTCCAGGTTGATATGTCCATCGCTTGTCTTTATTTTCTCTCCGTCTCTGGAAAGAGGAGACAGCTAACCACCGTCTAGATTTGTCCCTGGTTGCGCAACCAGCAATCCAGGGAGAGACAATTGTAACAAACATTTACGAAGGCAGTTACATGAAATCATTATATTACAAAATGATGTGATGTGACAAAGAAGGTAAGTCCAAAAAATGATTATCCAAAATGATGAGAACGGTATAGTGAAGCCTCTTTGGTATTTCGTGTCCGTCAGATCCAGTCCCAGGGAAAGACTTCTCCCACCGGTGCCCCGAAACCAGCCAACAAGCTGGACAACATGCTTGGAAGCCTGCAGTCCGACCTCAACCGACTCGGAGTCCAGACGGTGGCTAAAGGTGTCTGCGGAGCCTGCAAGAAACCCATCGTTGGGCAGGTGATGAGAACACTGAATCACACACATACAAGTCGGAACACATTGAAGCACATTAGGCTTATAAAAACATCATCCTTTTTGTTTTGTTAAGAATGTGGCGAAAAGAAGATTGCACTCAATGTTTTTGACCCTGTTGGATAGCTTGTGTAGTGTTGACTCAAGTTCCACATATCTCAGGCTGTGCTGATTGCTTGAGGTCCCAAGCCAGTCAATCTATCAATAATTCAGCTCTTATTTAATTGGCAACCAATAAGTGGAGCAATATAAATTTAAAGCTTTTATTCTGTGTTTTATTACATGACTTACTTACCTAATAAGAGACTTCTGTTTAAAGAAGTGCTATAATATTCTTTTCTGTGAATCATGATCTGCAATGTACTGAGATTAGTTTTAATATATAATAGTTCATTTTTTAAGCATTGAGTTATGATATCTGCTTTGTTTTCTTGCATGCAAGGCTGCAGCAATTTTCTCTGCTGAGCCAGGTCCTTCCCTCAGAAGCTCATTTTAATTTAATGCATGTGTCTCCCCACACCAGGTGGTGACTGCCATGGGCAGAACGTGGCACCCCGAGCACTTTGTGTGCACCCACTGCCAGGATGAGATCGGCTCGAGGAACTTCTTTGAGCGCGAGGGGCAGCCTTTCTGTGAGAAAGACTACCACAGCCTGTTCTCACCGCGATGCCACTACTGTAATGGACCCATACTGGATGTTAGTAGTGCATACATTCAATTACACACACACACACACACACAGGCACACACACAGGCACATTTACCATGGATGGGTGGATACTTATATTTATTTATTCATAACCTAATGGATTAGGGCGTGACTGGAAAAATCACTACATGGCATAAATTGCCTTTATTTCTCAAGCAGACACACACACACACACACACAATCCTAGAGGCTGTAGAAGAGAAGGGACATCTACTGTACTTGCCCTGTGCATGCAGACTGACTACATGCTACTCTCCTCTTGCTTGTCATTGCTCAGTTTTATCCTCGTAATGACACACTCCTATCAGGGGTTTACAGCCTATGTTCTTACACACAACATACACACACACAAACACACACACGGTGCCAGAGGTAGGTTTCCTAATTCACTACTCCTTCCTTTCTTTCTTTCCTTCTTTCTGTCTGTCTTTGGTAAGCCATTTTTTAACTTTCAATTGTTTACATTCAAATCTTAGTTTTTGGTGGGGGGGGGGGGGGGGGTTTAGCATGTGGGGAACCACTAGATTTAGAATTTCTGAATGAAATAAAGAATTTGCTTGACTGTATATACTTGTTCATATGTAATTGTGTTAAACATCTGAGTTGATTGTGAATTGTTCAATTTTAATGATTTATAACCCGAACTAATGCTGTTGTGATGGTTTCAATGTACTTTTCGACACTGCACCCCCTGGTGGTACAGCCAAGAATCACTTGTGCTCAGGCGTGTAGTTTACAGTTCTTGCCCTGCTGCACAAACTCAGCAGCTGTGGATGTTGTAAAACCTTGTGTGACAGTTATGAGTGTGCTTCCAGCTGAAGCTACTGAGAAATGCTATCAGGCCTGGAAAACATGAGGTAACAGTCACAGCAGACCAGCACACCTCCCACACTGCCTCTGTGAACTTTCGCTGCCCTCTCCTGGCGTCTGACTTTCTGATGTGTTTGTTTCTTCCGTAATTGCAAACATGCATGCTCATACTGTATGTGGACTTTCTTTTAGAACCTGTTTGTTTATGATTCACACCTTTTTAGCAGGAATTGAATGATTGACCACTCAGTTCTCCTTTGTTTTCACAGAGAGTAGTGACCGCTTTGGACAAGACTTGGCATCCAGAGCATTTCTTTTGTGCCCAGTGTGGAGCCTTTTTCGGGCCAGAAGGTACCAACTGCTCATTAATTATTAACATAACACCTGGCTTAAGTAAAAAAAAAAAAAGCAATGTAGAATTTGAATTATCAAATGAAGCATGCAGTGAATCACCGTGTGTCTTTGCTGCCATCTAGGTTTCCATGAGAAGGATGGAAAGGCGTTCTGCAGAAAGGACTACTTTGACATGTTTGCCCCTAAATGTGGTGGCTGTGCCCGTGCCATCCTGGAGAACTACATCTCAGCTCTCAACTCACTGTGGCACCCTGAATGCTTCGTCTGCAGGGTGAGCCCCTCGACGTACCCGACAAATGTCGTGACAACCGAAACCCATCATGGTAATATTAAAACCTCTTCCCTTCTGATCTTCCAGGAGTGCTTCACGCCATTCATAAACGGCAGCTTCTTTGACCACGACGGCCAGCCGTACTGCGAGTCGCACTACCACGAGCGCCGCGGCTCGCTGTGCTCCGGCTGCCAGAAGCCCATCACCGGCCGCTGCATCACAGCCATGGGCAAGAAGTTCCACCCAGAGCACTTTGTGTGCGCTTTCTGCCTTAAGCAGCTCAACAAGGGCACCTTCAAGGAGCAGAACGACAAGCCCTACTGCCAAGGCTGCTTTGGTAAACTCTTCAGTAAGAGTTTTTGTGTATAAATGTGTTCGTACACCCGTCTACACATTAATTGTACATGTCTGAATGCACTCACATGTCTAGCCATGTATGAGTCGGTGAAATGTTTTTTGAGAATGAGTTGGTGCACTGGTGGATCACATCATTAGGGTGAGAGATGTCTCAAGAGTATTGACCCTTGGTATGGAAGGGACTTCCCTGGTTGTCCAACCTCTCAGGCTTTGCATTTCACACTTTTGCTAAAGACATTTTTAAGAAAGCCCAAAGAGATTTTTATTTAGAGTTTTTCCTCCTGTGTGCAGTGAAGAAAATACGCTCATTTCCCCCTTGTGTACATATATGAGCGTCAAATCAAGACTTCTTCAGAGCGCTGATTTGTAAATGATTTAATTCCCCCATTGCAGGGCAAGCCCTTGCACCCTATGATGGTTCTATGCTGATATGCTGAGACAGCTGCTTAATTGCATGGACCATGGAGAGTTGACTTAAAGCAGTTTTAGAATATGTTGAATACACAGTGCTCGGCCAATGAGTGGAATAATCCATGACAAAGATGTATTTTTCTAGCTTTGGAAACTATTGAGGTGCCATTTCAAATTAACCATGAAAATACTCCAGACGTACGCACACACACACACACCGAACTCCTCCATCTTCTTCTCCACTTCTTTGAAATACCAGTTCAAACTCTTTGCACACTCCACCCACAGATCTCTTGATGAGACCGTCTTAAGGTGCATTTTACAGGTGGCGGCAAGATATTAGCTAGTCCTTATTTTTCTACTGTTTTACTATGAAATTGAACCCAGATGTTTTCAGCATACATTACATTCACATTTGTGCTCTTGTAAGTGAATTATTTCCCATTGGGAGTGAGATCAAACGCAAGTCTATATACATATATTGAACTTTTGTCCCCCCGGATAAACTTGTACTTTCCTACCGCGAAGTGTGCTTTGTGTCATTTACATTAATAATGTTCAAATCAAATGAAACGGTAGTGACTGATGATGACAAAAAGTAGCTCAATAAGAATAACGTGTTATGGTCAATAATGTTGAACTTATCATGTAATTTAAAAACAAGCCAAAACAAAGTTGATTGTCTTTACTCCACTTTAAAAGTAGAGATTTTCGTGATTTATGTAGTTCAATTCAGAATAAATGATTCTTCCGTTCACCATCTTTTCCATGTTTTACAATTGCTACTGTTGTGAATTTATCACTGTATTGAATCTATTAAAAACCCTGGTTAAAGATTAACAACATGGCTGTGGATTAAAAGCATGCTTTCTTATACGTGGACTTTCATCAGCACTAGATGCCACTCGCTGTTACAATCAGAATCTAAATTTGTATACCTGTAACATGCTCGACTTTGCGACAGAACTGTGTTTTTGTCACTGTTTTGATGAAAAAAAATATATTTTTGAGCGGTTTGGACTCGCACCGATATGCAAAGAGCTGGCTCTATTGGCATGCAGGCCAACAATAGTTGACCCTGTTCTCACACACGAGTACCAGCTTTGATTCCAGTGCGTCAGACTTCCAAGGAAACGCAGCCCTTATTATTTTCATTTTGAGTCATGAACTATGATCCTGCTGTCTGAGCTGAGGTCAGTACTTGGCTCACTGATGGAAGCTGGATGTTGGTGTTAGCTGGTCAGGAATCAGAATACAACACCAAGCCAGGGCCAAGCCTCAAGCAATTACACCTAGATGTTGTGACTCATTTCATCTTTATTTTACCTGAAGCTCTGTTTTGTTACGTGAGACAATGAGTGTTATATTACTTGTCTTTTGATTCACTATGTGTGCACAGAGTGAATACGCAGCATCTACATTCAGATTGTTTTTACTTTGAGATGATGTTTATCTTGTGCCAAATGTGTCAATGCAATAAGGTCTTATACACTGTGGAGTTCTCAACCTTTAATGCGATTTGACTCTTTATGGGCTGAACTCTGGGGGAGCTTTCGTCTGCCGTGGTGCATCTTAACACCTGATAGTTTACACTGTAATAGACGAGCCAAGGAGAAACAGTCCACACCGAGTCATTCAGCAGAAAGTAAAGCATACACTTGTGGCTGATTCAGATTTACAGGAAGTAGCGGGGGGTGGGGGGGGGAATACATAGGAATTGTGAGTTAACTTTGCCTCGTGTATATGTATGTGCTTACAGTATACTGCCTTATAGTTTTTGATCCTGTCAAATAATTCATTTAAAAAAAAAAAATCTATTTACTGTTAATGACATTAAGTGAACTTTGTAAATGGAGACATTCATGTGAAATTTTACCATTTGAATTTTCTCATGAGCCACACATTTGTGTGGGTGGGGTGTAAGCCCATGTGGGTCCTGATTACTGACTGATTATTGTAACTGCTGCAAATAAAATAAGTACTTTATTTCTGGCATTACTTTGTCTGATAAGTGATTTTTTTCTTTTCATCCAAACCTTTTACTATTCAATGTTTTGCATTAAACCAGATCTTTGATACACAGGATTGTCACGAAATACTAAAACACTGAGTGGAGGGAATCAGGGTGATTGTACCAAATATTTTACAGACATTCATTTCAGTGTGATGCATAAGAAAATATGTGCCAGTCCCACATAATCTCAAAATGTAAATAATAAGTGCACTTTGTGTGAAGATCAAACACAGGACCTTTGATATATAGAGTTACGCAGAGCAAATCTCAGAACAAATTGCGTGTTCAAATTATTTAAAAAGAATCAAAACCCTGGACATTAACTTGATCCCAACCGGTCCAAACAACATGTCAACCATCTGACGGGACCGCTTAAAGACAGTGATTCAATACACCTGCCCAACACAAGGACAAGACAACACATCTCTCCTGCGAGGAGAGGTCGTGACCTGAAGTCTGTACTTTGTGAGAGCTTGGAGCTTGTCAGCGAGTTTAGAGAGTTGCGGGCGGCTGTCCAGAATCTCCAAATATTCCAAGTCCTGCAGCTGGTGAAGATGCAAGAAATCTCTCTCTGGCACATGTTCATGGCGGAGTTTGAGACTTTTGAGCTTCGGAAAAAGTTGTGGGATTTGAGCTGTGCGAGCTCCCAAATGTGAGGGCCAGGGGTCTATGTGAAGGTGCAGGAGATGTGGTACCTGCATCGCTACGGCTGCCATGTCCACCGAGGACAATCCTGCAACACACAGCGTGAGACCGGTCACTGTGGCTGGAATTGAGGTGACATACTTCTTCACAGGTGGGCCCTTGGCGATGACCAGGGTTGACAGTTGAGGGAGGTCACTCAGCCATGTTCTGAGGTGATGGCCGTCAGGCGACGGACGTCTTTCTGGCGTTTCCTGATGCGAGCGCCTGTAGAAAACAGCAAGAGTCTTCAGGCCAGGCATCAGCCTCATTGCATCTTCTGGTAATGAATGATCAATGCAGTCGATAAGCTCCAAACTGGACAAGACTGGGGCACCAGCTCCTCCTAAGGGACCTGGTGTGGGTCTGGAAATATTGTGAAAGGCACACCGTGTTTGCACGAAGGACAATGAGAGATGCTTCAGCTTAGGCAGGCGGTCAAGTATGGAGTGCACCATCCAAATAGTTTCTTCAAAGATCCCCATCTGATGACAGACCAGAGATGTGAGATTTGTAAACTGGGAGACAGCAGACATGAAGCCATCCATTCCTGCAGTGGGGAATGTAACATCACACATGCTAAGTTGGGTCAGCTGCTGGGGTTGAAGCACTGTAGAAGCATCTAGCAAAAGGGAAGTGTGACTGCTTCTAATGGCCAGACGTTTCAGATGTGGAAAGTCCTTTATGCAGTCGAGGCTCGCTTGGGAGCTTTGGTCCATTACCACTGTGGTGAGAGAAGGGAGGGACAGGGACAGTTGTTTCCAGTCCTTAGCTTTGGTGCTCCTTATCACCACACTTGTGACTTTTCTGCGGCGAAGAGTGGCCCAGAATCGACTGTTGTAAGTGCCTTTACGAAACCCCAGAACTACTGACCAGTCTTTCCAAAGGGATCCGTGGTCCACGAGTTTTCTGAAGTACTTGCAGGACGCCCGTGCGCTAAACTTGTCTGCCGGTGACAGATAGCCAAAAACGTGGTTCCAGATCTCTGACGGAAGCTGTAGAACCGGCTGTGCCATCGTTTTTCCTCTGCTATCGTTAGCTAGTTGGCTAAAACCAACGTTCATTTTACGAGGAACCGTTAACCACTGGCCTGTTCGAAAGGCAGAAACATCATAAACGTTACACCACGTTTCTGGCTTAAAGTTGACACGGTATGTATTGAAAGAGGCGTTGCTTGCAGTGGATTTACTCTTACGGTGATAGTGTGGCAACAGATGTGATTGACAGGGCAACCATCCAATAGCTGGGTAGCTGACGCCCATGCCTCCTCTGTGATTGGACAGTTGGTTGGTATATAACCTCCTCGCACATTTCCTATTTCCCTTTCTTTCACGCGACCCTACTGTGTGAGGTAAGGACATGGTTTCGCTCTTTCAGAAAAAAAGAAAAACCTAAAATGTAGAATTATTTGATGTTTGATTTATTGCTTCATGAGATAGACGCGTGTAGCACCTAACGCTAAATGTTTTGTGAGATATAACAGTACGGTGGTGAGGCCTAACTGCTAGCAACAAGCTAGCACGATAGTCGCAGCGCGGCCTGCTAATGTAGTGCTAACTGGTTGTTAGCCGACTAACTTTAAACGCTAGCTGTCAACCACATGGCAACGCCTGTATGTAGATTATATCGTTTTTTTTTTTTCTAATTTATTATTTTGTGTGCAGGTATTACCTTGTCTTTAAACCAGCTGTTTTAAGCGATCCTTGGAAGCACTGCAAAGATGCCCAGGGAAGACAGGGCCACGTGGAAGTCCAACTATTTTATGAAAATAATCGTAAGTAGGACTTAACCTAGAACCTTGTTGTACGTTTGTATTTAAGTATAGCTGATTTATATACTGTAACGTTACATATTTGTATTTATATATTTAATTACATTCCCGTTGTCCTCTTTGTAGCAACTTTTGGATGACTATCCGAAATGCTTCATTGTGGGTGCAGACAATGTCGGCTCCAAACAGATGCAGACCATCCGTCTGTCCCTGCGTGGAAAGGCTGTGGTGCTGATGGGTAAAAACACCATGATGCGCAAAGCCATCCGTGGTCACCTGGAGAACAACGCTGCCCTGGAGAAGTGAGTCTGGTATTTGACTTTTTTTTTTAACTAACATCGTTTTTTATATAGCAGGATAAGTTACAATGCAGCTTGTGTAGTACTGCTTTGTCGTTCCCCCTGCAAACAGCAACTGTTTCCACGCTATACCTGTCAGTCACCATCCCTTGACTGCCAGGCACGCACGGTTTCAGACAATTAAATGCTTGATTTCTTTGGAGAAATTATTATTTGCACACATATTGTAACAGTTAATTCCATAATTTGATAGGCTTCTGCCTCACATTAAAGGAAATGTGGGCTTTGTCTTCACCAAGGAGGATCTGGCTGAGGTCCGGGACATGCTGCTGACCAACAAGGTAATGCAATTAACAGAATCGTCATTGTTTTGTGTGACATGGATCCAGAGGGATGACTTTAGTCTTATTGTATTTGACACTGTCAAACATTATTACCAACTTATTAAGTTAGTCATCTGTTTGGCAGTTGGTGCTAGCACTTAACTTTTGATTAGAAAGTGTAAAATGCAGCTGCAACACTAAACTGTAAAGAAATCTGGTTTATTTCTAAGGCTGGTACTCAAAGACCTTGTCGAGAAGCAGGATAAGTTACAATGCAGCTTGTTTGGTACTGCTTTGTCGTTCCCCCTGCAAACAGCAACTGTTTCCACGCTATACCTGTCAGTCAGCATCACTAGACTGCCAGGCACGCACGGTTTCAGACACTGATTAAAACTTGAAGTTGAGCTCCAGCCAAAAATGTTCAAACCTACTCCTGAGGTTTAAATTCAGCCCCAGTAGAGTAGCACGCTAAACTGTCATCACTACCCCAGGTACCTGCAGCTGCCCGTGCTGGAGCCATCGCCCCATGTGAGGTCACTGTGCCAGCCCAGAACACTGGTCTGGGTCCTGAGAAGACCTCTTTCTTCCAGGCTCTGGGTATCACCACAAAGATCTCAAAGGGAAGCATTGAAATCTTGGTGAGTTTGAAAATTATTAATACTGTGTTTGAAAATTATTAATACTGTATTTGAAAAGCATGGATGTTAAACACAATGTACATCACAATGCTTGCATCAGTAACTAAAAAGCATCTCTGTCCCCTCAGAGTGACGTAGCTCTGATCAAACCTGGCGACAAGGTTGGTGCCAGCGAGGCCACACTCCTCAACATGCTGAACATCTCGCCCTTCTCCTACGGACTCAACATCCAGCAGGTGTATGACAATGGCAGTGTTTACAGTCCTGAGGTGCTCGACATCACTGAGGCTTCTCTGCATGCCAAGTTCCTGGAGGTGAGATGCTGTGTAAAAAAAATCAGTCCAAGGAATTGGGAAGCACTTAAAATGAAGTGGTCATATTTGTTTGTAATACACTGAAAAAGGGGTCACTTTAACAATTTTATTTTTAGGGTGTGAGGAACATCGCTAGTGTGTGTCTGGAGATCGGCTACCCCACTCTGGCCTCTGTCCCCCACTCCGTCATCAATGGCTACAAGAGAGTCCTGGCTGTCGCTGTTGAGACGGATTACTCCTTCCCCCTGGCAGACAAGGTATGCTCGTTTAAATCGGTACTTTCTCTTTAGTTAGCATGCAGATGAGCTTTAGTGTTGCGGTGTGTTTTGCATGATTGGGTAAATCTGTAAATGGGAAACTTAAAATGTACCTGGAGAAATGAGTTTGGTATTTCACCTTTTTTAACTTCAGCCATTGTTTTTATATAGCAGGATAAGTTACAATGCAGCTTGTGTAGTACTGCTTTGTCGTTCCCCCTGCAAACAATAACCTGTTTCCACGCTATACCCGTCAGTCAGCATCACTAGACTGCCAGGCACGCACGGTTTCAGACAAATGCTTCATTTATTTGTAGAAAGGATTATTCGCACACGCACAACCCTAACTGTGTAAATGGAAAACTTATCGTGTACCTTTGTCCTCACAGGTCAAGGCCTTCCTGGCTGACCCGTCTGCTTTTGCTGCTGTCGCAGCACCTGTAGCGGCTGCCGAGACTGCTGCTGCAGCAGCTCCAGCTGCTAAGGAGGAGGTCAAGGAGGAGTCTGAGGCGTCGGATGACGACATGGGCTTTGGTCTATTCGACTAATAAAATCCAGCAAACCATCCGGATTTGAGTCATTACACTATGATTCAATAAAGTCTCTTAAAGTCCCCCTGTTTTAGTTTCTTTTGCTTTAAATTGAAAGGTTGTATTGTATAAATGCATTTGGATGCAGTGCTCTGTTCCAGCAACTGACACGTGGTTGAGACTTAAGTAAACTATTGCAATTTGATGAAGCTGTATTTTTATTGATGCACACCAGAATGGATTAGAATTAAGAGATTTTTTTTTTTTTTTTTTCTTTTTTTTTTAAAATAGTATGATAAAGTAAAACTATCCTGCATTGTTTCTATATGAAAATCTAAATTTTCTAAAAGTAGCTAAGCCACTAAATCAAAAGAATTGCTACTTTCCACAGTGGCTACCTAACCCCAGTTTAATTATATTCTGATTACTGGAAAAATACTACAAAAATGCTATATTGACATAACTGAAGGTATCCAGGATGGAATGTCAAAAACAAACTCATGATATGCCGCGTCATGAAAAGGTAAACCGATAGTCAAGTGTAAGCCAATCATTGCACAGTATGCTGACAAATTAAGAAAAGTCTGTAGTATAGTCTTATGTGTATATATGTATACTGTTCAAAACCTCAAAGTCATTGGACTTGATCCAAAAACTAATTTAAGTCTTGGCCTAGACTGATTTTAGAAAGTCCAATAAATGTGAATGTATACTATGGAAAAGTAAAGGTTCATAGTATAGCTTTTCAAAAGCCAAAGTAATATGGTTTACTGAAAAGTCGATGTAGGAAGTTAGACAAGTAATGGTAGTAAAATATGAGTGCAGTGTTTTTCTGTTCCATAACACCCCATTTCTCATAAATGTCAATGGACGGTCTCGTACTCGTCAGCCTCTACAGTGGTGCTCTGACTACTGGTGCTCTCACAACGGTGAGGACTCGAACCTGGTGCTGGAGCCTTCCAAACCACCAATGCCACACTCACTTAGAAATATTTTTGTGTATTTGACTTAATGTTTGATCTCAAAATTCACTTCACTTAAGGTTCAACCCACAACCTCCAGACTTCTATCACCCTGAGCTATCTGGTCTGACTCATGTACCTGCTATTTTGTAGTATGTTTGACTTCTTTGCTTTGGGTGATGGACCTTCAAATTCCCTGCATCACATCAAACCCACAACCTCAGGTCTTCTGAGCAGTTCACTACCTGAGCTACTTGGTCATACCATTTCTACTCAACTCACACACAAAACATCTGGGATAACTAAACATCTGCTCAACCTTGCAGCATGACAGATTATTCTGCACATTACAAATATACAAAAATAAATTGGAAGTTGATAAGCATCGGTAGTTTACTTTATAATTGTGCCAAAAAAATTACATGTTTTAATAGTTCTTCAAGATATTGTATTCTGATTTTCTCTCCAAACAAACCAATCATAGAAAATAAAGACATACAAGTTTTAAAAGTTGTATTAAATCAATACATGATCACGACAGGAGTGCATGAAGTTAAAGAAAACAGATTTCAATTTTTACTAAGATACATACTATACTATGACTTCTTTATTCCACATTAGAGATACTATACAATTAGTTTTTTGGACATACTATACTTCGATATACAGTATAACATATCACTCATCAATATATTTGTGCAAAAGACACTTTTATTCTGAAAACAAAGGACCGGAAATGGCATAGGGACGGTGGAGCTGGAGCGTAGATGCGCAGCAGCTACAAGGAAACGTCCACTATGGCTGAGGTAAGGGCTTTTTCTTCAGGTGGACTGGGGGAGTTTTTCGTTTTTTAAAGAGCTACGTGGCTAAATGTTTAACGTTAACATGTTTACGGTGGTTTATTGATGTGGATGGTGTTAAAGGCTAACATGCCGTACTTTCCAGCGCCGTTGTAAGCACGTACTCGGCAAACGTAAGCGAACGTGTTATTAGCTAGCTAACTTTACCTCATAGGCGGATCATAGTATTCAATACAATTTGATCATACTATATTGTGCTATTGTTTCATAATGTCACACAGTAGCCCACATCAACATCACACATGTGGTAATTGTCGTCGGTAAAATCTAAGATGTTGTCGTAGCTATTAGCGTGCTAACAATGTTAGCTTGTGTAACGTCTAAAGTCTCTAAAGTTAGCTGATAGTATGGGCGTCATGATTTCCCCTACAGTTTGTGTAGTTAGCTGTACAGCAGGTGTCAATGAGTCAACCCTTCAGACTGGTACTTTTCTATGAAAGACAACCGCCTAAATGTTGATTGTTGGTCCAGACCCACAGTTTACAGGACCTCCAGCAGCCAGCTGTGTCCTCCAAGGTGTTTGTCCAGAGAGACTACGGCTCAGGAACCATCTCCAAGTTCCAGACCAAGTTCCCCTCTGAGCTCGAGTCAAGGGTGTGTATAGCGTTTACATGGATGCAGTGATTGTTGACTGAATGTGTAAAAGATTGTGTATGATATCTAAACTGTTTGTTTTCAGCTTGATAAGCAGCAGTTTGAGGAAACCATCCAGACTCTCAACAACTTGTACGCAGAGGCAGAGAAACTAGGGGGGAAGTCTTATTTGGAGGGCTGCCTGGCTTGTCTAACTGCCTACACAGTATTCCTCTGTATGGAAACACACTATGAAAAGGTAAAACGGTGTCAATGGTACGCTGTGTTTGACAGATCTACCTGACAATGTTTATCTTACATCTGCGTGCTGCTGTCTGTCTCTCTCTCTGTGTGCAGGTGTTGAAGAAGATTTCGAGGTACATTAAGGACCAGAATGAGAAGATTTATGCTCCCAGAGGCTTGCTGTTGACTGACCCCATAGAGAGAGGCCTCAGAGTCGTATCCTTCACCTGACATATAGCAGTATACAGCGGGGTAGAAAAGTATTGAAGTTACACCAATGTGAAATTAGGCTAACCGGTGGGTTTTGGCGAGGTAGGATTGGCTCCTCTTTTAATATTTACATCTACATGCTTCGCCAGGTTATTCTTTGACATGCGCCTAATTTTACACACTAATTCCAAAACTAGTCTTCTCAACGTCAGAGAAATTCGATACGTGGCTCCATAAATTAGGTAGTAAATTCAAACAAAGCTGGCATAACCTTGTGAAGAAAAGGTAAATATTGGTTGAAGCTAGGGTTGGTTATGTTGAGAAGAATAAGATGGATTTTAAAAATTATCCATGTGAAATACTTGGCCCAGTGTTACCAATTTATTTCCAATGAAAGCAGCCAGCAGCCCGAGCTTGAAAAGTCCCAAATTTAGCGACAAGTCGCCAGGTCAGCAGCACTGACAGCCTGACCCTTCAGGTCTCCTTCCAAAGCCTCTCCCCCTAGATGAGCTGTGGTTATTGGTAGCACACACAGCTGTCAAGCTAGCAGCTTATAAAACACTCAGGTGATAATGAGTGCACTGACAGAGAGCCGGCCAGTATGTAAGTAGGTCGACACGCAGGTATGGAGCTTATTACAGTAACAGCCACAGACGATATGTTTTTTCAGTGCATTTGATTTATTGATTTCTGTTAGAGTGAAAGAATTTTGTTAACAACATTATCAACCGTAGTTTTAACTATATGAGAAAATGTGCATCTAGCGTTGTGTTTTTCCCTTAACTTTCAATCTTCTAGGTTGAAATTACCATCTTTGAAGACAGAAATATTGGTTCTGGAAGATAAAGAACCGTTGGTATGGAGTCTTTCTGGTGTATTATTTTAATGAAAAATCATTATCACCACTGTATCACCACATTTGAGCTCTTAACTCAAGATATCTGGATTTTATTAAGGGATTTTACTTAACGTCAGCCGTGAAGCTTGTTCTTTTTAGCCACAAACGGATCACTGACCACTTTTCATTTAATTAAATGTGTGATCACTTAAGCAGGACATTTACTACTATCTAGTGCTCATAACACTAGAATCTTCATTGTCTGTACCCGTTGACTATTCTTCATGACATAATATTCTTTCTTTCTACCTCCTCAGTATATTTGTTGACCAGAAACTCATCATCTGTCTGGCAGCAAATATTCAGATGTCTGCTTCACCTGAATCGATGTATATAATTTAGATCTGATCCTCTTCTCTGTTATTTATGAGTACTCTACTGTCTGCCTATCCTAACATGTTTGTAAATGTGTGTTCATGTCTATTTGATACATGCAGTGATGTACAAATCATGTCCTAGTTGATCAAGACAGTTCTTTATGAACAGTGCCATTGTGTTAAATGCCTCTTTTTGACCATGGTAAATATAAGTGATTTCACTTGTGTATGTTTTTTTTTTTGCAAATAATATAAAGTCAAATTATGTATGTAGTCACCAAGAACTGTTAAGAGAGTTGTTGGCCCGGTTCGTAAACTATAACCCTGTTATGGGCAGCGCTCCACAGTGTTGACATGCTGGTTGTAGCCTTTGTTGAGGCAAATGTTTTGTTATCAGTACATGAATGTGACACTTTTTTTTGGGGGGGAGAGTCTTGTCTTGTAAAATATGCACTTGGAAGTTCTGAACTGGATTTTTGTGACTGAAGATGGAGCATGTATACTGTTTGTACGTCCATCACAATATAACAGCGTGACCTGGTAGATTTTGAGAAGTTTCCATCTGTGTCATAGTACAACATCACTAAATCTTAGTCAAGTCCTGTTACATGTTTCCCACGAGATGCACCATCTATATTACGAATGTCCTCCCACTTATCCATAATCACCAAACGCTACAGAAACCTTAAACACTCTCAACACCACAGATGATTGCTATTGGTGTTTGATGCAGCTGGTTTACTTTTCTAATAAATATTGTTCTGTTTTATCTAAATAAAATGTCCTGCCTGAAATATGTATAACTCCATGTGTTTTTGAATTTATTTCAAATACCACAGTGCATAAGGCTTTGGAAATAGTGTTTTGTGTGCGCAATGGGTTCAAAACACAGTATTTGGTTTGAATATCTATTACCACATAAATATTGGATGCAATTTTTTAGTATGTTTTAAAAAAGATTTGTACGAACGTCGCTTTTATTGTGAAGGAGTCAGACCGGATATTCTGCCGCTTCTGAAGGAACGCCAAAAAACATCTGCTTCCGGTAGAGAAATAGTAAAGGCAACTGTGATCTACTGCTGCTACTTGTGACTTCTTTAACGCTACGTGAACAGCATCTCACTGAAACAAGTCACAATAATAAATCACACTTTAACCACGACGGTAAGCACACTCTAATCACTAAAAGCTTAAGCTAACGTAAACACAACTTACCTCGTGCGTTAACCAGAGTCTGCTAGCTTTGTTTTGACTTGTTTATTTGTGCTTTAGGTAAATAAAAACGCACCATAACCAGCTAGTTTTCTGCTCCAGTTAGCTTAAACTAACATAGCTATTAATACATTGACCTTCCCAACTACGGTTGCTGGCTCGCCACGGTGAATTTGCATGATTTTTTTTGTTACCATTGCGGATAACGTGAGGTTAGATCAGTAATACATGAACTTATCCACGCTGTCCACAGGACCCGTCCCTCTCTGGCCACCCTGGCGTTTGCTTGTATCGATGGCATCTACCTCCCAAAGCAGGAGATGGTGTTCCTGCATCACGTCAACGATGAGCTGGAAGCATACCAACAGAAGAGCAACCACAAGAGGTATAATTGTGTTTATACCTGTCCTGGTTTCATTGTTTATAACCTTTATTTAATCAGGTGGTCTCATTGACATTACATCCTCAAAACCAAGTCTTATCTTGAACATTTGCAACAATGAAGTTGCTTTTAAACTGTCAAAAGAAAAACTGACCTTATTGTCTTTCTGTGTTGACACGTGTCCCTGTCAGTGTGCTCCTGTTCCCCCCTCTACCGAGCAGACTGCGATACCTGATCCACAGGACCATAGAGGACCTGCCAGAGCTCACCACCTTCTCAGTAGGGGACAGCTGGTGCCGTCGGGTGGTGGTCTGCCATTCTGAGCTAAGGTCCGGACTATAGACAAGATCTCTGTTATTTGATGTGTAATTAACTTGGCTGTATTGCTTAGTATGTGCAGGTTGCCAGTTTGTTTTTGTTACACATTGTTGTTTTTTGTTTTTGTCTTTTTTTTATAGTTTAAATTACTTGTTAAGATAAAACATTTGTGTTTTCCTGTAGGGGTGTGGAAGAGGAAGTCAGTGACGGGGAGAGCAACAACAGCTTTTGTGAACAGCCCCTAAGAAACAGGAAGGAGAAAGGTGGCAACGCCAAGCGTAAATCTTCTATCCCATCGCGAGGCCGAGGACCCAAGAGGCCGGACAAACCTCTTTACATGCCACGAGCTGCTCGGGAGAGACTCTCCTTACAAAATGAAGCGTCAGGAGATCCAGGGTTGCCCAGTCCAGCCTCTAGTAGCTGTAGCTGCGTTGGCAGCTCATGCGACTCTTGTTTCTCTCCCGAAACAACAGAAAAAACAAAGTCCCCGACCACATCCAGCGAGGAGTGTGTCCTCAGTGCAGTGGAGTGTATCCCTAACCATGTTGCCGACAGTTCAGCAGTTTGTGAAGAGAAACCAAAGTTGTTGCTGACGCCGAATGAAGCTGAGCCCCTAGTCTGGCAACAGACGGTGTCCTGCTTCAACGACATGAGTCTGGAGGACGATGAGAAGGGCGAGGGAGACGTATGCACAGACACAGACGATGTAACTGAAGAGGTACGCCTGCTTTTGCTGTTTTTCTTACTTACTTTATCCATTTTACTGACATACATATATATTAATATTAGCATCATGTCATTGCTCTGTACTTTTTGTTCTTTGGTTTAACGTTTACATTAAACTCTTTAAAGTTGAGGCCACATTAGCATCATAAATTGTCATATTTGTTTGTGTTTGTCCTATCAGATCAAGACACGTCTGAAAGAGCCGGAGACCATTTCCATTGAGCACGTTCACAATGACTACTCCTTTTATGAGAATGTGGGTTACAGCCTGGAAAGGTTTTGCCACGTCATCGAGATCTATGACTTCCCAGTTTGTTTCAAGACAGATGACCTCCTGGATGCTTTTACAGACCACAGGTACGAGCAGAGAGTTTAGATCCTAAATCTGTCTCCGTCAGCTTTTCTATTCTAGTTCATGAGGCTGCTGGGGTTTAAGTTTATTCAACTGTGGCTTTAGATATATTCCTGTACGTCCAATGTAAGCTATTTTAACATCTCAGACAATTGTTCTACAAACCTCTGCTTTCCTGTCTGTCACAGTGATGGTGGAATGAAGATCGAGTGGGTTGACGACACACATGCCCTGGGGGTTTTCTCCAACGAGACGGCAGGTATGGAGTCCTCGCTGCACAATGAATGTCGTGCTGAGGTTAAAAGATTGTACTGACATATAGCAATGCCATGTGCAGCAATCCAGGCACTCTCCATTTGCCATCCACTGCTGAAGGCAAGAGCGTTGAATGAAGCGAGTATAAAAGCCAAAGGAAAGGCCAGCAGACGAGCAGGTAGGTGATTCATCGAACATGTATAAGCCCCAGAGCTACTTGGAATAAATAACACAGCCCTTCTGTGGTATATAGTATCATCTTTTGTTTCAACACTGGACAATGTGGATCAGATGGTTGTTTCTATGCCATCTTCCAGAGTCTATCCAGCCAGTAAAGGAGCGTCCTCGGACAGACTGTGCTGTTGCCAAGCGGATGGTGACCAGAGCCCTGGGGATGCAGGGACGAGGCACAAGAGGGCAGCGATATTGAAGGGAATCGCAAACACTGTCGGCTTAAACAGGTGAACGGATGAACACAAGTGACAAAGGAAGTTCTAAGCAATTTTAAGAGTACGCAGGCAGAATTGTGGAGTTTGCTACGGAGTTAACTTAATGTTTGTCCAACTATAGCTGCCACAGTGATCTGATTGCTAGTGAGCAGAACACTAAACTTGGGATAGCTGTTAACTGTTAAATATACAAGACTTGAATGTCACATTCCGCAACGCGTCTCTTAATTTGCATACGAGGTTCTATTTCTATACACTAAGAATTTATAAAAAAGTTTCATCATTTAGATTTGGATCTGCATTCACCAATATTTATTTTAAAAATGTAAAAATTCTTTTCCACATTCACCCTTTCATATAAAATATAACCAGTCAGGCAGCAAGCAACAAGTACTCTTTTAAAATAAAAATAAAAAAAAAAAACCTTAATTCACAAAACAATGAAGAGGCATTTTCACATACATTTGTAGCTTTTTCAGTATGGTCGTCCACAATGTTATCACGGTCCCTGACGAGAATAATGTAACAAAACTCAGACATTGAGAAATAAGCTATGGGGATGCAAAGATCATGAAGATGAAAATGTGTCGACTCAAACAACCAAGACAAAAAAACTCAATAAATAAAACATTTTCAAAAGCGACCTCAAGTATGTGGAACACAAAATCCTGATAGAAAAAAAAAAAAAAAAGCCTATTTATGCTTAATTCTAACAATTTATGAGTGAAAATGTTTACAAGTTGACAGAAACACTGCAGGAAACAAATCCAATACAATTTACCGTGTTCAGAACTAAAGGAGCCATGACAGAAAATGTGAAAATAAATCAAAATTTAGGCCTAAATTACAGTTTGGGTTACAAGTTGTCATCAATTATTTGTCAGTTTCATTGTTTGCCATGTTGCTCTACAGTAATTATAATCGTGTACTGTATTTGTTCTCAGTTTCGAGTTAAAGCCTTTAACCATCCAATACTGTGGATTCATCTGTTTTGGGTGGGAAACATACAGTGCAAGATTCAGTTGTAGCACCAGGTTCCAGTACACTCGTTTCATCCATCCTAAGCAAACACAACATAGGGGTGAAAGGTGTCATCTAATGGATGTTGGTTTCAGGCTTTTCCCAAACTTTGGCTTTGAAAAACAACTGTTGGCACAGTTAATTTAATAAATTATGTGGCTGCATCCTTCCCTGACATCTCTCCCAGTAAGCACCAGGTCGAAATCTACATTTCACTGATGGCAAAGGCACTACAACATTAAAAGATAAGGACATTTTTTTTGTACAGCTGAATGTGGTTATTAATAGATAAGCAAAGCAGTTCATTTTCTCATTGAATCGTTGTCCGTTGTACCGGTTGAGCCCTGAGACCAAAAACAAACCAGCACGGCTCCAAGGAAGCAAAACAGCACAGCTCCCTCTAGTGGTTGTCGAATATCAATATATGATTCCCTAATGTCAATCTGCTTGGTCTACCTTTGGTCTACCGATGGGAGACCTGGTTGGTCAACAGTCCAGGGAATGTCTCCTCTGTTTCTGAACTCATTGAGCCACCTGTGAAGAAGGAAAAGATGATGGAGACAAGAGCTAACCAATACATAACACAAATGCTGAAAAAAAAGAAGTCTTAACGTAAGAGTGTACCACTCTTTTTGGATTCCATCATGCAAACGAACCATTCTGTTTTCAAGCATGTTATAATATACCTTCTACTGTCAAACACTGTGTTCTATTTCCTACAGAAAGGTCCAGCGGAGGTGTCTGCCTCCATTCATCGGGCCTCTAGAGGCTCCACAGTGGCCACAAACAGCCAGCTGATGAAGAAGAGTATGACTACCGTCCAAGCACCGTTTTCCTGCTTCCCTGGTTGGTACAGCAGGTTTGCATGGTGACGAATGGGACGGGCAAGAGTTGACTGCCTCACATCAGCAACATCCACACTGCCGACGTGTTCCTTGAGTGAATCACAACCAGCCTCACAGTCTCAAAGTTGCTGCTCTAAAGCTGAACCTGACCCCTTTTGGACATTATTGATGTGGTTCCAGTTGTTCACTGTTAAGATCAATAAAGAAAGTAGAGTCCAATGCAAACAGTGGTGTCACATGGAAAGCTGGAGAAGCTCTTTGTTTTGATTTGAATGCATGACGTCTTCAAAGTAAAGTGTGTTTCAAGTGTCTTTCATTTCCAGACAGCTTTACTTCCTCCTTGCCCAAGTGATGCAGGATTTGGTTGCATAATTCTACATAAGTAATTCTTTCAAAACTAAATGTTGAAATCCTCCACACATTAATTCTCAGGATTTGGTTGAAGCTGTCGTTACAGCCAGGTTTTTATATAGAGTGCACAGCTCCAACTGACAAATGTAGGTGCATTAACATGAATCAGATCTTTAAGATAACACTAAGTATTGTTTTTTAAAAGCCAGCACGGACACGGTCGTAAAGAAAGAAACATGTACCAGCAATGTTAATGCTGGACTCGATGCTGAATCAATGTTTTCTAATGTTTTAGTTCATTTTCAAACTTTGTTTAAATTGTTACATTACAGAACGAAAGCTTGAGTTTGGAAACTTGGAATGTTGAGCCCTTTGTTCCCGTTGCTGTATTTAGTAAATGAAAGATGTTGAGTGTTTTATGTTTTGTCGTACTGAAATGAGAGGTTTCCCTGAAATTATCTTTTGTGCCTGAAGCGGGAGTGACGGGACTTGTTCTGTGGTATGTCTCTATGCATTACCCATGTCGACTAATTGTAGAATTTAACTGCATCCCTTGAGTCATTTCAGGGAAAAGAAGACTTAATTATAGCGTTTAATGCTCCGCAATCCCATGAAAATATGAAAACCACACATGGTTTAAACTTGATTCGTTGTATAAAAGTTTCAGTGATGTAAAAGTTGTAATAAACAAAAGGGACAGTTAATGTGTGTGTCAGTGGCTCTACTTTGATACGTTTGAAATGAAATGTGTTAAATGTTGATTATCTTAACAAGGATGTTTATACCTACATCAGGTTATAGTATAAAAAGTGTAAACTCATCTTATTTAATATATTTAATATTTTGCTTCAAACCCCACAACTGAACTCTTGCCATCTTAGTTAATACCATTTTAACCCAAGTGCAGAAGGGATGGTGGGTCTTCATAAGGTAAGGGTCTCACCTATATGACAGTTGTATGTCCACATGCGTTGTCCGTCGTACCGGGAGCGGCACCTCATAATGTTGTTGGTGTAATCTGATTCTGCAACCTCATAGTTAGGGTTTATCACAACCTGGGAGAACAAAAACAAACAAACAATCTTTGTTGAAAGTCTGAAAGAAACATTCTCTTTCCTTGATACATAAGGGCCGAATAATACAGATTTAGTGAGTTTTATTGCTGCAACTGATTTAGAAAGACAATCGTTTAGTGGCGGATGTCAGAGTTTGTCTCTCAATCTAGTTATTAGAAATTTAGTTTCAGCAGCAGCCAAAGTGTCTGTGTCCTTCAACAACCTCTGCTAAGTCTGAGTATACTCAGGCTGAGCGCCAAACACAAGCAGATGAGGAGACGTGGAAAGTCTTGCCATGTGTTTGGTCTATAAGACTACGCTGGCTGGAGATGAGACAATCATTCCCGATGCAGATGTGCCGCTATCTGCTATTTATCTACCGCTATCGACTGGCTAGACCGGCAGACCAAATGTTTCACCTGGAAGATGTAGTCGCCGGGCTTCACATCTGTGATGTCAATCCACTGACAGTCGATGTCGTGCCTGTAGGTATCCCAGCAGCCCAATGTGATGCCTTGTGCCCCGAAGTTTGCACATGCATACTTCTTCTCGATTCCTGTCAGCATTCACAACAGTTTCAGTTTTAGTATTAAGCCTTTCAGAACTTTCAACAGCATACATTGTTTTTACAATATTCTCTTCGTATGAAAGCAAAATCCTGTTAAACCACAATTCAGTAGCACAATTCTACACAAAGCCACAGTATGTGATAGAAATATAAAGGGAAGGAAGACTATTTACCCTCGTCACAGTGAGTGTCCTCCAGACAGAAGCTGGCTTTGTGTCCCTCTGCAACTTTAGTGCCATTTAGACTCAACAGGTCATAGTGGGTGAAAACCTCCATACTGTGGTAATGTCTGGAATAGACGAGACAAAACTTAATGTTGAAACGTCCTATATATGTCATCATATAGCAACTCCTCAATAACACACATGCTCTGATCCAGGACTAGGCCTTATGGGGGGAAAGCCAAATCGCCAGTGGAATATAGGGATTTCCAGGGCAGTTAACATCGGTAATTAATTACAAAAGATTCATTCCATATGATTTCATTCAGTTTCACATATGCAGTATTCATATGTGAAACTGAATGATCCCCTCAAAGGATTCATGACATTTTGACATCCAGCATTAACATGAACAACAGTAACCCCCGTGTCATCATTTGAGAGTAACAGATCAGGTTTCATACAGTCAACATTATGAAAGCAAACTACAAACTGTAGCTCTCGTTGAGGTCTCACCTGTGACACTCATGCCAAACCCAGGAGTGGTGTGCCGCCCGTGGCCTGAAGTCTGACTGGCCGTTGTTGTGGATCTGGGAGGAGAAGCGGAGAAGGCGGCGGTGGGAGTTGGGGTCAGCTGTGTCAGCACTTTCGGACAGACAGTGCTCCTCGTGGGCACACTGCAACGCGTACATGGGTCTGTCCTCCAGGTAGGTGGTCTGCTCCACAGCCTGGGTGCTGAGGACCAGGTCTGGGGCCACTGGGAGGGTGAGAGTAACAAGGTACGAAGTGGTTAAGACCAGCATGAAACTAAAAGTTCCCCAATTAGCTGTAGAGCATCAAGTTAGTCTTTAATAATATTCCTTACTATCAGAGTTTTATAAACTTCATATCCAACAGCACAATACAGTATTTACCACATATTTCATTTCATTCCAACGCATATTGTTGTCCAGTTCACAGCCTTCTTCACAGCAGACATTTCAACTTGCCATTAATAGGAAAAGTGCAGGTAATACTAATAACATCAATGATGGCTCAGTAAAGTGTCCCAGTAAGTCATGACAGAGTGACAGTGAGCCAACATGCACAACACCAGGACCCTGAAACTGAAGCAGCCAAACTGAAGCAGCTTACGCATTCATTTCTTTCATTTACACATGGGCTTTTCCTGCTGTGACATATCGTCATGTCTTCCATATAAAAAAAAGATTGTGAACGTAAACATGTGATTGTATTCTACAGTTTCTTACTCTGAGTACAGGAGACCCCCGCAGCAAAGCGTCCACCTCCTTTGGGACAGTGAACGTGTTTCCCGTGATGTAGACACTGATCCAGAGTAAGCTCAGTTCCTGAACACCGCACTCCACTCATCAAGACTACGTCAGCTGAGGAATCTCCTTCCCAGTACCATGTTTCCTGATTAAAGAAAGAGAATGAGCCCATCGAGCTTAGTTTGTTTGGACAGACCTGTAATGTGATGTTATATGATCTGGGCTTGTCCCAGGTCATATACGACTTTAAAGTTTTTGCTTTCAGGTCTGAGGACTAGTCAAGCCTTTCGGTAGTCAAGTCTTGACTAGCCTGGTTCTGTCCCAAGGTAAAACAATCTACCTATCAACATCTAAAAAGTTTGTTCATTAAAATATCAAATTTCTCTAATGCGTACAAAAACTGAAGTGTAACCTAGTCGTAGTTTGTGCCTCTCATGTAATACCATAATACATGACAGAGATTTTGTTATCTTCTGGACTGCGAGGTTTCCCGGGTCTCTGCCTTTGTGCTAAGCTAGGCTAACTGGCTGCTGGTAGCTTCACAATTATCGTATAGACACAAGAGTGGTAGCGATCTTCTCATCTGACTCTCCGTTAGAAAGTGAATACGTGTATTTTCCAAAATGTCAAACTATTCATTTAAATCTGACATAATTCCAAGTCTCAAGTCTACATATTTGCTACATAGGTTCATCTATTTATGCTCGAGTCAGCTGGACTCAAACAGAAGATCATGTTGCTCAAGCTGCACAAGACTGTTTTAAGCAGAAACATTATCTTAATTTTCCTCCTGTATTTAATTTGCAGACATTATCCCAGTTGCCCCACACGGCATATCTAATCAAAGGGTCCACCACAGCTCTGCTGTCCTCACAGTCCTGACTCAGCCTCATTACAACATTTTGCAGACCACGAGGAAACCACCTGTGAAGGAAACGACTCATACTTTCCGTAATCTTTCAAGAAAGTGGAGGATTCATGAGAAAGATATTGAGCTGAGGGATATGGATGTGGGAGTAGATGCTGGTGGGCTGAGGAGAGGGGTAGACAGCAGTTTGAGGTTGGTGTCATTTGTTCCGTCTGGTGGTGGGGTTTGCGTGCAGAAGTATTTAATTCAGACAGGAAAGCATCTCTCTAGAGAAGCTGAGTCTTTGCTCTGCTACGATAACAAAGAGCAGACATTTATTAATTCTAAACCTACAATATGAGAAGTCTTATGTAATGGCAACTTACTGTATTTGATAAAGAGACTTGTTATTATTAAACTTGACCTGCTTATTTGACTTGGCATTGTATTATTTTTTCTATAAAGCGAAATAGCTACTTGTAATCCAAGTAGACCCTTTATTTCACCCTGGAAAAGCCCAATGTTGAACTGTACTTGACTAAAGGACGAGTACTCAATCAGTGCTGCAAACAGATGATGACATGTTCATGTGTTGTCTCATTAGAAGTGCATTGTACTTAATTGTCCAAAACAAACTTTAGTGAGATAATCAGCCAGCAACATATCCAGTCCATGTTCCACTCCACACGTACACACATGAGTCACACATGCTTTCCAGGCCTATATCATCTGAAACCACACATACACCCCTGGTTTCAAAATACAAATATATAAAGAGCACAAGGGGGGTTTAACTTAACCAGCTTCTCACCTTATGACATAAAGAAAGCGCTGGGGGTGTCCTTTAAAAATAAAGACATAAACGTAAGCAGGACAGCACTGTGACGCTGCCAAGTCATGCAGCGGGCTTTAGCGGTGGAAAGCTGAACTAAACTTCAAACAGTAAACAAAGGTTTCGCCATCACTCCTGCTGAAGAGTTTAAAGCTCATCTGTGTTTTAGGTTTATCACTCCAAGCCAGCTTTCTGCTCTGACGTTGTGTTTTTGAAGTTTCTAGGACAGTTACAACCTTATTTTGCCCTCTGGGATCAATAAAGTTCAAGTTCAAGTTAATGGCATCCACACACACACACGCACACACACACACACACACACACACACACACACACACACACACACAC